TATCAGAGCATCAAAGTGGGCCCCAATGAGTGGCAAACTGAGTGGTTCGGGTAACTGACAGATGTGTGTCGAGTGGCGGAAAAAGAGAGCGAAAGTTGTAGAACTTGTGCAAACAATTTGCCTGCAGCTCCTCTCTCCGCCCCATCCCTCCCTTCCAAGCTCAAGCTGGATGTGCATTTGTCCGCTGGGAGTTGATTAAAATGCCACATGATAAAATGAAAACAATTAAGGCACAGTTCATTATTAAGTTGTATTGTACTTTTTAATAATATAAACCACTGCGTTGGTAAAAAATAATTTCATGAGTTAAAATATAACCAACAAATTAAATTGCAAAGTGGCTTAAAGCTAAATGTTCGAAGCTTCTGCAATAAATCGTAATCAAACAATGCTTTAGGGATTGGATGGATGGGATGGGATTGGAATCAATAAAACTGACAATTTTCCTACAATTTAATAGCTAATTTTGAAATTCATTTTAATGCCTATATTTTTATTACAAAATCTGCTTTAGTTGATTTTTTTATTTAAATGTAAATTCGTTGTAAAATATTTCACAGAACACAGACAACTGTGTATAAAATGGTTAATATTTCAAACTTTTTGCAAATACCACAATTATTTTCAACCCTTTCTAAGAGTTACAGAAATACATAAAAAATTAAAAAATAAAACAAAATATAATTGAGAAGAAAAACAAGGAAATTCAATGCACTGAAATTGGTTACATGGAGATGAAAATACGACGTAAGTCGAGCGATACAATTATCGTTGTTAAGAAGCTCAATTTATACAATTTCGAGTGTATGCAAAATAAAATAGAACCAAAAACAGAAAAACCGAAATAAGAATCGCTTTGATTCGCTGGCTACGGGCAAAAGGTTGTTTTTTTTTCCGCCCGAAATTTTTATGGCCGCAGTTTTTTATGCCAATTGCCAGGCACGGACAACAATTACGCGCATTATCCTTTCGACTCCAGTCAAAGATGCAGACGGCATGTCTGCATGTAGCTGGGGATAGGGTAGGATAGGATAGGATAGGAGATACGAAGCGCGGCAGCCGGAGTCGAGTGATAACACGGCATTTGCTTAAACAAGCATAAATGCAAACTGCTAAAAAGAAATATAAAAAACGAAAAAAGTAAAAAGTTCGGTGCCATTTTAATTTGGCTAAGTAGCGCCAGTGACACTGACATAGAGAGTGAGCGAGAGAGAAGGAGTAGAAGAATAGGCAAGGCAAGGCAAGGCAAGGCAAGGCAAGGCGGACACGGATACGGTTACGGATACCTTTGCTGGACAAAATATAAAAAGTATACATATAGATGCAAAAAAAGCGCTAATTTAATTTTAACTTTGCTGGCGTCTGGGCAGCTCCTATATACATATTCAACTTGTGTCTTTTTGCCTTGCACCCTTTTGTCTGTTGATTCCGTTGTCAGCGTCTTTTGGGCGCTTTATGCTTGTGGCACACTTTTCGCATCGCATTAGCCAACCAGCTCTCCCCCCCCTCCCTCTTCCCTCGCCCCTAACTGCTGTCCAAACCAAACTGAGGCGAAAGAGTAAAAGTAAAATATTTGCTCGGCCATTGCAAGTGAGCAGCGCTGATTGCGCCACTAAAATGAAACGAGTTCCTTGTGCGACGATAAGATTTCGAGCTCAGCATTTATCCACCGTCTCCCCCCCCCGCCTCTTCCCTTCCTTCTCCCTTTTGCAGCGTCACTTTCCTTTCCCCGCCAGCCCGCTCTCGACTTAATCACAGTGAAGTTTACGCATTTGCCGCTGGCCATTTCATTCCTTACTTTTTATATCTCTTGTACCCATTTAAGCTGGCTCAAAAAAAGGGGTATACGAGTATTTTGTATATGTTTGTTGCAACATGAAGCAAGCATCTGCAAGTCAATAAGTTGCCAATATTATAAATCAGATCACCTCACAAATGCAATATGCAAAGAATCAAATCTGAAAGGTAGAAGTCAAAAATGAATACAGCTTTCTCTGATACCAAAAAACAGTTTGAGAGCATTTTAATAAGAAGACAAATTTTAGTTTTGAATTTATTTTTATTATTTTTAAAATTTTTATTAAAAAATAAAAGTAAAATGATTAATAAAATAAATACACATTTTAGGCAACGCAGGCTTCGCTTAATATATTTAAAGAGCCCCTTTCTTTTCTCATTTCAAATTTTAAACGAATTATTCAGTATTCATTTTATATAATCTAAAATATGAGTTTAATTTTAATTTTAATTAATTCTCATTCCTCACACTGCTCTTACTTTCTCAGAAGCTTTTGATATTTCTCTGACAAACCCAATCGATGTCATTCGCCCTCTCTCTTTCTGACTCTCTCTCTCTCTCTCTCTCTCTCGCTCTACAATTGAATTTCGCTCCAGTTTCGAGACAAGGTATCCAAAAGTCGATTACTACCAATTTGCTTGTGTCACATTCTTGCTGCAGTTAAGTCTATCTTATGGCCAAACTTTGTGAGTGGCTTTAAGGCAGTTGGCACCTACGCCCTCAGTTAGCCTCGGCCCGACAATCGACAGCGATTTGCTACGGTTCCCATTCCCCAGATTCCCCGTCCTCATCCCATCCACTTTCTGAGACAGAGCAACAACCACCCGCCAGCCTCAACCCTCCACCGTCAACATGCGCACCGCACCATCATTGACCAAATTCGTATTCACAAAGCATCCGATAAGCATAACAGTTGTCGTCAAGTGAGCTCTGGTCGTGCCGCCGGCACACACCTCATGAAGGAGTTTCGGCTGAAGGTAGCAGCTGGAGATGAGGCTGGTTCGGCAGTCGCAGCCACCGTGTGGCAGCAGCAGTTGGGGGCAGCAACAAATCGTCGCCAGCTGCCAGCGACAATAAAACGTTTTACAATGTAACTAAGACGACGACATGCCGCTCCAGAAGACGAGAGACGAGAGACGAGAGTGTGGGAATTTCGCCCCTTGGCTTGCAACTTGAGGTCTACGCTTCGACTGGAAATTGAACGAACGGCTTTCGCATGTGGCAATAATGTACGAATCACTTGGCCCATGTGCAACAAAGTTAATAATTGTTTATTGCCACAATTGACAGCTGCGGACGTGTGGCCAAACCATTTCATGGGTAAGTGGAAACCTCGATTAAATTGTATAAGCCACAGTGAAACATATATACGCACACACATACAAATATATATGTTGATAAGTTCTTTTTTATATGTTCCCAAATCACTATAATCCAACTACTTGGCCAGATTGTCGACATTGAGCATCCCGAAAAGACTGATAAAGCACCTAAGGGCCAAAGCAATCTTTATTCTGCCAACGAGGCTAATTTCGCCAAATCTGCCAATACTAGCAGGCCTGCCAATATATACCGAAAGCTCTTTTCAAATATCGATATAAAGTTCCAAATAATAAGGATGCTTTTTTCGTAAGCGGATTTCCATTTATTGATTACAATAATCAGACAGATCAACCAGAGAAAAATGCTGCAAATGTTTACAGCAGCAACAAATTGAAAAGAGTTAATCAATTGGCAAAAATATACAATGTGTCATCCTCAGTGTCATTTAAGTGATAGATAATTATTGTGCATATTTCAGGCAAGCTCAGCTCGCAGATGCTCAGTGAAATTATACAGAAATCATGGCAATAAACATGGCTCAAATCCTTTTCTGTTGCCAAATGAAAATGAATCTTGTCTTGTGCAGAATTAAGCGGATATATTAAGTAAATCGCTCAAACAAACAGAATCTCAGTGGTAAGTTGATCCAAGATTTGGGCGTGGACAGACTAGCAACCCATCTAAAACTTCAAAATTGTGTAAAAGTCTAGAAAATTGAAATTTTGTATAAATTGAGCTTGTCATTCGGTTTTGATGAATTTGATGATTTGAGAAGTTTTGTGTAAGAAAATAATATTTTAAGTTTTCTTTTAAAAACTACATTTTTTAATGTACTCCAGCTGCCACACTGCTGCTGAGTCGTCTACGGAACAAACATTTGATGCTCATTATGAAAATGCCTTCAGCTGAACTTAAGATTTAAATTGTTGACATCATTTCGGGCTTTGCTGCTGATGAATTTGAATGAGCTGGCTGAGACGGCCTAGTTTCAGATACACACTGGTCGTCTGCAACTTTTTACGGATATTCTCATATCAAGGTAATTTTCTGCCGTCTTTGCTGCAGATCCAGGCCGCCTTTAGGATTCCTGGGCATCATTATAAAGATGAAAGGCTTTCTTGTTGCCGATTGCAGTCTGATGACGCCTCTTGTACGAATATCAGCTAATCAGGCGAAGGAGAATCAGCAGCCATTGCAGAATTCCAACGGGCAAATGTCAACTTGCCACTTACAACATTTTGGCACCTAAATTTATATACATTTTAAATACATAAATCAAATACACTAAAATACATTCACTTTGTCTAATATAAAAACTCTTCATTAAATGTATTAATCTAGAGATGAAACCTTGATCAGAAAGCCCTGTTTTTTTTAAGTCAAGTCAATTTTGAAAATGTTGCCTTTGCGAAGTCTTGACGCAAATCTACAAGCGCTTTGAGGGCGTTTCCAACTTTAAATTTAGAATGAATCTAAGACAGGCGATCAAAAAAATGCCATATATATCGACTATGAAATCTACAAACAAAAGTGCGCAGAAATCTTAACAAAATATCCACAATATGACAAAAAACAATGCATGTTCATTGTTTTTAACGCTCTGTTCACTAACAGCAATCCACGGTCAACATTGTGGATTTCAGTTCTGTACAAGTTTCGCTGTTAACATTTGGCGAGTGGCTTACAGCGATATTTTCTACAAAAGTTCTTTTCGCTATCGATAGCAGTCTCCGATGTGACAGCTGAACAGCTGTTACCATGTAGCGCCAAATACGACGGTTGAATTCAAATTCAAACATCAATTTGGCGAGTGGAAGGCGTTTTTTAAGCTTTATCCTATAAACTAGAATTGATGAATCGAAATAAAACCAAGTGCTTATATGATATAAATACACAATTCAATTTATTTCACTTGCAAGCTTACTACGTTTCTCAATGGACAATGTTATACATTAGTTGTGGATTCCTCAAATATGCAACTGTCGTGTGGACTCTAAAACCAGCAGTCCCAGGAACGTTAGCAATGCAAACAAATAAGCGCTGATTTGTTGCTGTTCTTTTTGTTTATTTTGTGGTTTTTATTTCTATAAATATAAAAAATATGCATATACAATGTATATATAGACGCGTGTGATGGTTAAATTTACTTCAAATAACAAATAAATTGTTCAAACACAATACGAGTATATAGTCGAAGTAAAATGTGCTTAAGCTACTACTAGGGGATTTGGAGTTGGAGTTCATTTCAAATAATTATATACACATACAAAATTCCAGCAAACATTGCCGAGGAAGAAGGAGTACAAAGATCATTACTGAGGCTATCTAGTTGGCCAATTAGTTAGTTAGCCACGTTTCTTACACGGTTTGCACACAAACATACATAATTAACACACCGTAAATAGTTTGCTATCAATCAATAATATCGAGGCCAATTAAAATGGCATATTCTTAATGAACTAAGTTGAACCACGCGTGTTTCGTTCTGTTTGCTTCCTTTTTGTTTTGGTTTGTTTTCTATTTTCAGTATTCAATTTCCAACATTCTTCAGTCTAAAGTTGTTGTTTTGTTGATATTTTTTTTCATATAAATTGTTCTTTGTTTTATTTTGTTTCAGCATAGCTTTGAGGATGTTGCTTGTGCCATTCTTGTAGGTCTCTTGCGGTTTGTTATGTTAAAAACAAGACAAAATATTCGGTTTGTGGACATTCAATACATAGACTATATGGTAAATATGTAAACAAATTGTACATACTGGAAGAATTTTTGAATACATACGATAAATAAGGTGTATTGACGTTGCACGCTGCTGTTAACAAACGAACCAACAGCGAATTACATACATACATACACACATACATATTTAACAACAAACTTGATATCATGCACATTTAGACTTTCAAAATACACATAAATTAATCGCTTACAGTCGCTCACAATTATTATTATTATACAAAGACGATGCTGAGCAAAAAACACTTGGAATATGAATCGATCGATATCCGGTATTATCCATTTTGTACTTATCTAATAATATTTTGGCTATTTAATTTAAAATATCTATACTAATTTTATTTTTATCAATTCTGCATTGTAGAAACAATTTATAAACTCTTGAATTTTTTAGCAATGGAATTTCTTAATTCAAATTTGAAACCAAAACAAATTTCAAATATTTGTTTCCTGGTTGTTTTGTGGTTGTTGTAATTGTTGTTGCTGTTGCTTTGTTCTGTGCGCAGTTGTGTGTGTCTGTTGTGCGTGTGTGTGTGTGTGTTGTGCGTGTCTGTGTGCGTGTTTGTCAAGCTATAAAGCTACAGCACCCAGCACTTGCCCCCCTGCTATTCTCCATCAGTCCATCCATCCAATTTTATTATATTGTTAATTATTCAATTGTTGTTGTTGTTTGTTGCACAGCTGACATTTTGTATTCTTCGGCGTCGCCGCTGCCTGCTGCTGCTGCATCATCAAACTATTTGGCATGCCCGTTGCTGAGGACAGCTGGCAAAACATTTGCCTGCTGCACCACCGCATTGATCACATCGATCTCCTTTTTGAGAAAGGCGGCGCTGTTCTCCTCCTGACCATGTTCTGGCAGGGCGTTGCCACCAGAATTGGTGTGTGTGTTGCTGTTGCTGTCGGTGTGGGCAGAGGATATGTTGCGTTTGCGCAGGCCAGCAGCAGCGGCATCCACCAGATTGGCGGCACCGCTGCTGACAGTGCCGGCGGCTAGCTTCAGTTTAGGAAACTCAATGTCGCGCATCAGATCGTTTTTGAACTCAACGATGCCGCTGACGGTTTCGGTAACAGTCTTATCAATAAATTCCTCAATATTTTTGGTTTCCGCTTCAATCTTCTCCTTCAGCTTGCTAGACAACTGATCCATTTCGCACTGATCGTGCGGCACGCTAACCGCGTCGCGAGCGCACGTCTGCTGTTGATGATGATGTTGATTGTTCGGCTTTGGGCTTGAGGGCTGCTGCTGCTGCAGGTTCTGCTGGTGTTGCTGCTGTGGGCGTGGTTGGAGTATTTTATTATTCTGTGGCTGACTCGTTGAATTGTGGTTGTGCTGCTGCAATTGCTGCTGCTGTGGCAATGTGTCATTACGTTTTGCATACGTTTCCTTAACCATGCCACCATCCTCTTCATTGTCCTTGAGATCATCATTCGTATTGTTCACGGTCAGCGGATCAGCGGCAACAGCAACTGTTGCTTCAGTTGCGTTATTATCGCTCTCCACATTGATGCCGGCGCTATTCCGGCTGGAGCGCTTTGCGCGCTGCTCGCCCCGAATGAATTGGGGTAAAATAAATATGGTCACTAGTGAAATAAGATGAAGGCACAAACCAAATTTCAGGTACAATTTAATGCTGCCCTGCAAAGTGTAAGTGTGACATCGAATTAGTATTCAGCTAAAGATGAGTTGATCCAATAGATGTGGCACTTCTCTTACCATAAATTCAAGCAGAACAAATGGGAATGTTGCATAGCCCATCACCATGCGTGTGGTGAGGCAGGTGAGAATGTCGTAGAAGACGCGCGTGAACTGCGTACTCTGGAAGCGATAGCGGAACATGCGGCGAGCTGTGCGCGCTGCTGTCACCACCAAGGCGCCCGTGGCAAATGTCAAATAGTAGCCCGGATAGAAACCGTGCCACACGGCGCTCAGAGCGAACGTCAACAGTGTGCCGTACTTCTTGGGCACGCGCTCATAGACGAGCGTGCGCAGCCAACGATTGGTGCCACAATTCCAATTGTTAATCGCATCCCGGAAATTGGAGGCAAACTGCAATCGAGAAAACGTTTTTAAATATATGTACGTCTAAATATCTATCTGATAACTCACCTCGAATGAGAGCACATTAATATTGGATATTAGATCCCATTTGGCATTGCCATCCTTGTCGTAGCCGGTGAAGCCTAAACCTGAATTATTGCATATGGCATCGGCGAGTAGCCATGCATGATAATACTTAAAGCGTATGCAGGTGGTTGCCATCATGGCATACCAGAATTTATACATTATGCCCGTGCCATTGACAAACTCATCCTCCTTCATATTCTTCACTGGATATATTTTCACAAACTTCATGAAAATGAATGCGCACACCAAGCTGCCAAGCACTTTTCGTATCACGGTTTTCGTCGGCGACGGCTCCAACACCAGTTCCGATTTACCATTGTCCAGATTGCCCTGAAATCGAAAATCATTTTCACATATAAAAACTACTGCTGCATAAATTGAAATTGATGAGTCACAGACGACACACAGACGGCAGACAATGTGTGATGTGAGCAGACCAGAGCAGTGAGAGACAGTGCAAAGTGAGGTCAGCATTGGGCTAATGTCACCCACCTCCGGGTGTCTCTCTCTCTCTCTGGCAGCTCCACATTGTCACTGGGCACACTTGGCAAATAGATAATGAAATCAGTGCAGTTCTATTATGCAGGTGACCACATAATCATCTTGTCTGTGGTCCACTTACATTGCCCGCCGGCCGCTTCAACAGATTGCAGCCCTCCACAAATTCAATGTAGTCCTTGTAAAAGACCAATGGACCGGCCATGAGACCCTGAAAGTGCCACACATACGAGAAGAACTCTAATGCCGATGGCATTTTCCTAATGGCATGATATTGTTGCGCCTTTGTCATGTCCTGTAAATGAGCAATGATTGTACTAAATACTGTTGATAGATTTTCTGAATAGCCTGCACAGCCGCACTCACCTCATCCTTGCGCACGAAACCATCGTGTATACTGAATGCCAGGCTGGTCACCTTTTGTGTTATGATCATTAAGGGTCCAGTAATGTCCAGAGCATATGAGCCATAATCATAGATCTGACGCATCAGATGCACGCACAACAAATAGCCCATGGCCACTAGCATGACGCTCCTGCCAATGTCATTCGTGTTTGAGTTTCACTTCAATTCATTGCCAATTCAATTCACAATTTAGGCTTACCTCTGCACAATGCGTGGATCCTGTGTGCGTATTACAATGAAACATATTGCGGGCAGTCCGGCAATGTGTATGGCCTGCTGGCCAAAGCAAAAGTAGCCAAAGGCCAGGCCCAGCGATAAGGCGAAGACGTGGCGCACCTCATAGGAGACCCTCGATGGATGCAACCACGACCGGAAGAGCGAGGCCAGGAAGAGCGCCAATATTTGGCAGATTAGAAAGTTGACCTGCAAAAGTGCAATTCAAATGTGTCGTTTATTAATTAATGAAATACAAATAAAGAGAGCGAAAGAGCAACACAAGGAACAGCTGTCATTTATGTAAAGTTGAGTCATTAGCCACCACTCGCTATGCTCCACCAACCCACATCCAATTATGGTCCGATAAAAACCAAAACCAACACAAAACTTGAGTAATTAATCAGTAATTATTTTTCGGAAAACAAAAACCAGTAATTATATTTGTAATTAGTATACAGGTCCATTAATACAATGAGAATAATGTCAAGGCTATTAAGAGAGGGTCGACTAACAGAGACGAAGACACCTGTTTTCAGAGCGTAAAAGTTGGTTGGAG